ATATATTTGATGCCCCCGCCCCGCCCCCCGCGTTTCTACGCCCCTGTGTTTTAACGCCATCGGTGAAACTTTAAAGTTTTCAACAACAATAATCTGTGCGGAAAAAGAAAAAAAAAAGATTCCGTCACTGAGAGTAGAAGTAAGAGGAGGCAGCGGCTCCTTACCGGATGAGAGGGTAGAGAAGCAGCTCCACGGAGCCTCCTGTCCCGGCTCTCGAGCCTGGGACTGGGAGCAGGACTCCCACAGAGACAGGGAGAAATGGTCCGCAGTGACCCAGGCTGGGCTCAGCAGAGCCACCACGTCCAGACACAGAGCCAGGAAGACGCAGAAGAGAGCGATCAGTTTGAAGGGTCTGAACACGTAGACCTCGTTCACAGACATGGCCACTTCAACAGACAGTGCTAAATATATATAAAAAAATCAAATGTAAAAAATAAAAGGACTAAAGGTCAGGGAGTGAGGTGTGGAGCAGGCTGCAGGTCCGTGTCAGCCCTCCGTCTCTACCATAGTCTGCCGCTGCTTTGTCTCACCGAGTGCGTTTGTGTGCATGGATGTGTGAGAATGTCTTTGTCCAGCTGGAAAAGTTTAGCAGACACTTCCGGCTGCTTCGGCTTTTCAGAATAAGACTTCGGAAAGCTGGGGAAAAAGTCATTCATTGTCTTCAAGTTTAATTCGTTGACTGTTGGGATTTGTTTCTACGATTCAACCCGTTTTTTAAAAACAAAATACCAAAACAACCTGTCATTATTAAGTTATACCGTTAACGTTTATTTACCTGATACGTTTAACGTAAAGATAAAATGTTTTTTGCCAATACGTAATAAAAAGAAAAAGTGTGTATAGTTTAGTTAAAAATCAACATTTTATTCATGTATTTATTTACAATTTACGTTACACTGTCGAATATGTGGTTGGTTACGACATGGTAATGCACTATCAATCCACTAGATAGCAGCGTTGTCCAAATTGAACGTCGTTTCAAGAGCCACGGACAAGCAATAAACGGTAGGAGGCAAAAAAAACGTGTTTAAATATCAAATTGACCGCTTTTTAAACCTTCTAAAACATGTGTCTTCATTGTTTAAGGCTTTAATATTGTTTATTGAAATACTGGGCAAAATTATATAGTATAGAATACGTGCTGTTGTTTAATTGGTCCGTTAAAATCAAAATGTTAGCCACTTAGCTTCAGAGAGATTTTCTAGAAACTGTCTATCAATGTAGGGGAAAATAGCTAAAAATAAACATTAAAAGCTTTAAAGAAAAAACACATATTGAAGAAAGTAGTGGGGTAAAAAAAAAAAAAGTAAAAATCCACCCAGTCTCATGGTTATTTTCCAAAGTGTCCAAGTTAAACAGCGCCTCACAGCGTGAAGACGAGATAAAAGAGAGTTTAAACAGTTTGATTTGCACCTCAGCAGCGTTCTGCTCCAGTGTGGTTTACTTTTACCCCCCTCCACCCTCCCTCCCCCATCATTTGGAGTCTAGATTAGGGGTTTTCACTGCCACTGGGAGAATGGGAGTTTAACATTAATGCCACCCTCTCACTTCTAATGGTACGACTGGGCATCTGAGTGTGTGTTTCTGTCTACTGTTTGGTGTATCCACGGACCAAGCTTTGCTCAGTGGCTTTAAAAGCGTCCACCTCCTCCTCCTCCTTCTTCTTCCTCCTCCTCCTCCTCCTCCTCAGCAGCAGAACAGGCAGGGGCTCTCTGTCATCCTCCTCCAAAAGCCCCTATTTAGAAAATGTGCCGAGCAGACAAAGCTACTTGAGTTGGAACAGTGTCGACTTCCCACATGGTGATACGGGAAATCCAGGTCATGTTGTGTCTCTTCTTGTATCCACTCACTGTTCAATTCCGACTCATCCCATAAACCATGACTGTACTGTAATATAAAAAATAAACAAAAGTATGTCACTCCAGAAGTATTCGATGGTAAAATATTTAGTATATTTTTCTTAAAAACCCAAACCTGAAATCATATCAAAGCTGATTGTGAAATGATTTTTAAAGCTGTAGCTGAAATTGTTCTTTGGTTCTTTAGCATTGCTGGCTAATCACGCTACGTTTATGTTTTTAATTTCTGGGCTGTTACCTTTAAATACTCTTCTTGACAAACTTCTAGTCTTTTTTTCCTTATTTGCTAATTTTTAGTTATGTTACAGATTAGATCTAAGAGCGAGGTTAGTAGCGAGATCGCTGAATTTTCTGGGCTTGATTCCATTTTATTATTTCCATGTGGATGATGGAAGGCAGGATTTCTAGGCCAGATTTGGCCCACGGGCCACGCATTGTGAAACTTGGTGCACTGAGTCAGGTAGAGTGTCATCAATGTGAGCAGGGTGAGATTATAAAGAAAAAGAAGTCACATGACGACCTCATCACCATCTCCTGCTCATTATGGTCTGGAGAGGCTGCAGCTGAAGAGGCTCAGAAGGTTGTTTTTTTTTTCTTCCGGTCACGAATGACCTTCCAGGCTTTGTTTAATGATGTTCCTGCTCAGGTCTGACGCTGCTCCTCTTTACTGTAACACCAACAATCCAGCATAATGAGTCACTCTGTGGCCTGACTCTGTGTGGAGTCACTGTTTTATAGGCCTTTCAGAATCTCACTCCTCACTCCTTTATTTGGGCTAATCTACGAAAATCCTTTTGGCCAATATCTTCTTGTTTCTTAGCTAAATATGTAGTTGAATTTCTGGCTAACGCTCAGATGTTTTCCTGCTCATTTTTTTCCTAACTTTTAGCTTCTTCTGGACCTTCTGACTTCATTCTCGGCCTATAATTTTGGTACCTCCTGACTTCATTCTCGGCCTATAATTTTGGAGCATGTTTACGGCAGTTTTTCCTCAGTGAGTGACTCTGTCACTCTAACACGATCATCTTGAATGATCATACAATGCCACATTTATTTAGGCCTGCCCTAAATTCAGACTCCTGCCTGGCTCCAGAGTCACTGCAGCCCCACTGTGTCCCTGAGTGTCCACCTGTCTCTCTGTGGTCTGACCACTCAGGGTCCGTCTGCCAGCTTGTGGACATCTGTTTACTTCCTGCTCCATCAGTCGTCATGGCTGCGAGCCCCCTCTAAGAGAAAGACCCTCTACTCCACCCCTCTCCACCCTCCCTCCGTCGGCTGGCCGGCGCTCTCCACCCGTCTCTCGTGTTTCCCCCACCCTCAAACACCAGCTGTGAAGCACTTATGCTTACCCTGCAGTGCAGAGTCCTGTCGTAACCACAGCCAGAAAATGACTCTGTCGCTGGAGTGACACAAATCTGCCTTTTTATTATGATAAACGAGAAATAAATTGTCGAGGACAAGGGAGAGACACGAAGGTTTCGCTTAAGTGTGGATTCGTTTCCACTTCATAATGTTTCATAACAGGCAGGTGAAGCTGTGTTTTCCTGCATAAACCCTGTGTCTGTTTCCCTCTGTTCAGCTGTGACACATGCTGCTGTTGCTGCTGCTGCTGCTGCTGCTGCTGCTGCACAGAACATTCCGGGTTTAAATTTAACAGGATAGACGTTAACTATAGGCCGTCAGTGACAGGAAGGAAAGCTGTGACTAAGCTGTTCCAACCTCACACCCTGACGTTCGCTGAGCAGAATTCAAAATAGATCAAAGTCCTCCTCCTGATATTATTGGGTGTTTTTGACAGGGATTAGGTTTTTGGGGAAAGAAAAAAAAAAAAAAACGAAGCTCTGAGTTGATGTCAGTTTATTCGACTTGAATAATTTAAAACATATTTAAGACATCATGGTGCGCTGATGTTGAATTTTACATCCAACATTTTCCTCCCCCGTGTGAGTTACATAAAGTTTGACATTTGTTTTTTTTTCTTTCCTCATTCTTGTCACAACGCAACCACAGCCTGCAACGAAAATAACTACATCCGGTTCTTATATACAGTCTATAGGTCTGACATGGTGTGAATATAAAGTAGGCATGTACAAAATGTGGCCCTGGGGCTAATTCTGGTACGTCATTGCTTTTTCTTTGTGGCTGGTGTGTGTACTGTATGGGAGGTTGTATGTAGGCCTGTCAAAATGAATGGGTTAATCGTGTTAACTAAGTGAGACTACGGCTGACACGCTGACTGACACAATTGACAAATGGATTGTGAAGGACAATGGAAACTCCTTATTTAATATGTATTTAATATTTAGGAATGTTGACTCATTTGATGATTAATCATTTTAAAAAATACATTTGAGGTTTTTTTCTTAACTTATAATATTTTTGAATTATTTTTGTCGTTAAAATTCAGTAATCAGTTATCAGTTGTGCTTGTTTTATATTTGTTATATTATTTAAAAAAAAATTAATATTGATTTTACAGTTTTAATAATTTTTGATTGACCTTCACTAAGTTACTTTGTATTTTTTTATTATTATTTTTACCCCATTTATGTAAAGAATATAGGCCATAGAAAAAGTGCCACAACTGACCCCAGAACCACGTATTGAACATACTACTCGATGCTGATGAACTTTTTTACACGTTCGAAAACAATCACTGTGCGAATTGATTTGTCGACCGAAGCGACATGTTCACAATCCGACTGAGTGAGAGGAGGCCTACAGATCTGCCCCCGCCCTTCCCTGAAGCCCCCGCACTACCTAGAGTAATAAACTACCCCAGCCCCGACACTTTCTTCCTCTGTGCTCTGTTAGAGTGCGGGGCAGTGGGCAGCAGTGAATTAGAGCTATGCTTGACATGCAGAGGAGAGGCTCCAGAATGTGACAACAGCTGAGTTTTCAAGTGAAGCTGTTTCTGCCTGAGCGGAGACCAATAGACCACGGAGAACGTGCAGAGAACGTGCTGAGAACAGGAGCCAAACCTTCTTTTTTGTTGACTCCTTCAAAAAACAAGGACCTTTTATCCACTGGCCTTCACAAAGCAGGGGGCTAATGGGTGGTGCATTCAGGGTCAGACTGGGACTACATTTGAAATGAAAAGATACAAAACAACAACAGAAAATATTCGACAATAGACGGTGATTCCAGTTGTACTTTTCCGAGTTGTATTCCTGGGCCACGCCCCAAACGTGGTGAAGGAACAATTTCTCAGATTGTAATCCCTACTCTTCAGTTTAAGAAGTGTGGAGTTACAGCCAGGGTGGCTGTTAATGCTGACACTCTGTACTGAATATGTGGGTTTTCACTGGTTGTTGGTGTCTGTGTTTGCTCCACATTTAAGAAGTTTTAAATGTGGCCTGATTTTACTGTCATCTTGGAAGCAAATACTGAGTTTATATCCTGCTGTGAGGTCAGTGTGAATCATGGTAAACATCTGCCTTTATCAACAAGAAAAATTCTAACTTTTTTTAAAAACATATATGGTAAAATTGTCTGCGTCAAAAAGTAGGCGAATAAAATAAAAAAGGTGAAGAAGAAGAAATAATAAGAACAATAATAATAATAATAAAAATTATTATTATTAATAAAACATATATGGTAAAATTGTTATTATTAATTATCTCCGGTGCTAAGAGGTCAAACAGTGACCACAGGAAGTGTTGCGACACGACTATTTCAACACTGTTTCTTCTATTTAAACTATTCATTGTCATTATTTTTGCTCCAGTATAAGGAGGTAAAAAGCAATTTGAAAATGTAGAACAGTGTTGAGAGCAGATACTGTGAGAATCGGAGTGACACTGAGATCGTGTTTGCGTGAGTTTAATCTGGTTGGAGCCAGCTGTCCGAGGAGCTTGTTTGAATTTATTTTGTTTGTCCTTTGACGTTGTGGATGGAATGATATACAATTCAAATGAATGTTGATAAGGGACAAAAAAAAAAGCGACAGAATAAATCATTAAAATTGACTTAATGAAAATGCAAAACGTGTTAAATGAACGTTATAAACCAGCGATTGTGTTTTTCACTGTAATCCTAAAAACATTTCTTGTGCGGCGTGTTTGTGCGTCTGCGCGTTTGACATCCAATACACCAGTGTCACAAACGCTTTGTAGTAAAAACACTGACAGATTGTCATGTTGCACTTGCCCTCGGGTCAGTGCTGATCAAACAACATAATGAGAGACCAACTTCATGCAA